GAGTGGCAAGAAATATTCAAAGTGATGAATAGCAAGAACCTACAACCAAGATTACTTTACCCAGCAAAGCTATCATTCAGAATTGAAAGTAAGATAAAGAGCTTCACAGATAAGAAAAAGCTAAAGGAGTTCATCACCATCAAACCAGCATTAAATGAAATGCTGAAAGGTATTCTTTAAGAATAGGAAGAAGAAAAAGGTAAAGATAAAAATTATGAACAGCAAATACATATCTATCAACAAGTGAATCTAAAAATCAAGTGAATAAAAAATCTGATGAACAGAGTAAACTGGTGAATATAATAGAACCAGGAGCATGGAAAGGGAGTGGACTGACAATTCTTGGGTGGAAACGGGTGTGGGGGTGCAGGAAGAGACTGGACAAAAATCGTACACGTATGGATGAGGACAGTGGGGGCGGGGAAAGGCAGAGGGTGGGGTGGGAACCTGGTGGAAGGGAGCTATGGGGGGAAAAAAGAGGAATAGCTGTAATAATCTGAACAATAAAGATTTAATTAAAAAAAAGAACTTTTTCTTTGCATATCTTTGCATGGCTAGCTTCTTTGAAGCTTTCTATTTTACCTCAACTATTTCCTTCCCACAAGAGTTTTCTAAAACGACAAGGTATAATAATCAGTGTCAACATGAAATTTGAAAAAATCTCTAGAGCTAGAGTATCAAAAGTTGCATTTGAACATACTCAGAATTTATATCTGGTAGACTTTTTTCAAATTTTGCAGTAGAAAAAAAAATGTATGGCCCTAGCCGGTTTGGCTCAGTGGATAGAGCATCGGCCTGCGGACTGAAGGGGTCTAGGGTTGATTCTGGTCAAGGGCATATACCTCGGTTGCAGGCTCTTCCCCAGCCCGGGCCAGAGGTTAGGGCTTGTGCAGGAGGCAACAAGTCTATGTGTTTCTCTCACATCAATATTTGTTTCTGTATTTCCCTCTCTCTTCCACTGTCTCTAAAAATCAATGGAGAAATATCTTTAGGTGAGGATTAAAAAAATGTAAGAAACCAATAAACTATATTGACTGTTTCAGGCGGAAAAACAGTTATCAGATTTCTCTAAATCTGTTTACCTGGAATGAAAATGCACAAAAAAGTCTTTTTAAAAATATTTATATCTTGCCTTTCACTCCTTGTCTCTTCCCACTGGAAATTGCTACTTGGCACTATTTTTTTCTGGTGCTATGATAAAACAACTTTCTGTTAATGCTGAAATTTCTTTACTTTTTAGTGGTCCAATGTAAACAGCCAGTACTCAAACATGGAAAACCAGTAACAGAAATGAAAAAAAATTTTTCCTACCAAGATGAGGTTGCATTTAGATGCCGGAAGGGTTTCTACCTTAATGGCAGCAACCCAGTGTTCTGCGGTGGAAACAGTACTTGGGAGCCTGCGATGCCCACATGTATTAAAGGTACATATTATGTCATTTTCCTTCTTGTTTTTTTTTAAGGTTTTCTTTCTTTGACACTAAATATCAATGATAAAGAATAACTGAAAAGAAGCAATTTTAGTAATTAATTATCTTTTCATATTCATGACGGATGGATGACATAAAGTTCATACAGAATTTTGCTGTTGTGATTTTGTATGTGTTCATAGAGTTCTTAGCACATTCTGTACATCACATAGGTCTGTACGTTCCTCTTGTTCAGTACTGTTATGTTATGGTTAGCAACCACTTTTTCCAGAATAAATGGAATGAATCATGGGAATTTTTACCTAAATCAGAATGAAAGTCATAATTCACACAAATGAAAAGAAAGGGATAATTTCCAAGTGATTGATCCTACATTGTTATGTTTTTCAATGTCAAAGCCTCTTATTTTGAGTCATTCATATTTAGCAACATCTTCCTTATATTTTACAAAAATCCTTTAAATTCATGTTGTTTACACTAATTTATAACTTTTAGTAATTAAAGGGGGAAGAACATACTTATAGCCATTTTAGTTGTTATTCTTACTGATTCTAAAATTACTTGCCATAGTCCACAGATATACGCAGGCATGTACATTTGGGCAAGTTACTTAAACTTCAAAAGTATTTACTTACATGTAAAATGATTTAATGTCTTCCCAACTGGGTGATAATACAGCTTAAATTGGTTGCACTTAAACTACTTAGCACTATGCAAAGTTTGGAAAGTACGCATATTTTTTAATTTTGAGGAATAGCTAATCTTTTTTAAAAAATCAAAAATCAAATTAAATCCATAATTTTATTAATGAGACTGATGAATGGAATAAAATTTATTTTTTCAGGTCCCAAGTCTACTCGTCCAACCAAGCCACCAGTTACAAGCTATCTAGGTTCAGTAACATTTTTATTTTATTTTAATTTTTTCCCTCCCATCACCATTTATTCCCTCTCTGCCCTCTTCCACCTCCACCTCCACCCGCTCCCCATCCCCACTCCATCACCACACTCTTGCCCATGTCCATGAGTTCTCTCTCTTTTTGTTTTTTTGTTTTTGTTCAATCCCTCCACCTTCTCCCCTTTGCACTTCCCCCGACTCCCAGCCCCTAACCAGAGCTGTCCACCTGCTCTCTATCTATGAGTCTGCCACTATTGTGCTTAGTAGCTTGTTCATTAACTCTTTATCCTCCTTATATTGTTAAGAACTTTGTGGGCTGATGGGTGAAAAGTCATGTCTTGTTTTAATTTGCATTTATTTAATAATTAATGAGACTAAACCATTTTTATCCACATTCATTTACTCATATCCTTTGCTCAGTTTTCTGTTGGGTTTCTAAAATATTATTTTTGTTAATTGTGAGAACCCATTATAAATTAAAGACCTTATAATATATAGTAAACATTTTTTTCCAGATTGTTATGGCCTAATTTTGCTAGTTCATTTTCTTTTTAGATTTTATTGGATATAGATTTCTTTTTATAACTTTGTTATGAGGAATATACAAATGTATTTTTTGTAAATTTTCAAATATTACAAAAGGATACCGAGTAAAAAATTAGTTCATCTCTTTCTCTAGTCTATTGTCTGAGTTAATCATGGTTCATAATTGAAGTCTCTTTTTATCCCTTTCATATAAGGACACATCATGTCCTTATATGACTGGTTATACATATTTTGCCTTTTTTTCATTTTTCTTAACCAGAAATAGACTCATGTTGTTCATATTTTTCTAAAACTCTCACATTTTACACTTACTTTCTTAGATTGGGGTTGTATTTAGATTTATCCCCATCCTTTTTAGTGACAACTTTAATATATGCCACATTTTATTTAGCTATTCTCCTAGAATGGACAGTTATATGTGCAGAAGAGTTGAATGTATTGAACTATTCCCTAATGGCTCTGAGTATTGTGTCTTCCTTATTAAAAGCTTTAAGTCTTCAAGTTATATAAACACTTCAACCATGGGTTCTGATTTCATTGTTTTGCATTTAAATCATTGATATATCTGAGATTCATTATGGAATATGGGATCAGATTGGTTTCTTCTCCCCTTCACCCACCCCCATTCAGTGGCTAAGTTGCACCGTCTATGGAATGGATTGTCTTCTCTCCAACTGTTTTATCACACACTAAACTCATAGGTGTTCTAAATTCATAGGTGCTCTAGTCTCCCACAGAAGTTGCACCATCTTATATTCCCACCAGCAATGCACAAAGATCCTAATTTCTTTACCTCTTTGCCAACACATGTTCTTTTCTGTTTTTTGATAATAGCCATCCTCATACCTGGTAGGTAAAATATGTGAAGTAGTATCTCATTGTGGTTTTTATTTGCATTCCCCCCTTGATTAGTGATGTGTACACATCTTTTTATGCACTTATTCACTATTTGTATCTATTCTGTGGAGAAATGTCATTCAGGTCCTTTGCTCAGTTTTGAATTGAGTTGGGATTTTTGTTGTTGATATTTAGGAGTTTAATCTTTTCTCTTTTCTTTATTTCAATTTTTTTCTAGGATATCTCAACTTTCGTGAAGTATCATCATCTGAAGAGATTGTGGAATTAGGTATTAGTTTCTTTCTTCTTCTTTTTTTAAATCCTCACCCGAGGATATTTTTTCATTGATTTTTTTGGAGAGTGGAAGAGAGAGGCAAAGATAGAGAGAAATATCAATGTGAAATCCCGAGGATATTTTTTCATTGATTTTTTTGGAGAGTGGGAGAGGCAAAGATAGAGAGAAATATCAATGTGAAATACATCCATTGGTTGCCTGCTGCGGGAGCCCTGACCAGGGCCTGGGCCGGGGAGGAGCCTGCAACTGAGGTACGGGCCCTTGACCGGAATCAAACCCAGGACCCTTCAGTTCACTGGCCGACGCTCTATCCACTGAGCAAACCTGCTAGGGCATTAGTTTAGTTCTTAATAATTCTTTATTATGAGACCTTAGAGTTCTACATGAATATATTATGTTCCAATTATTTGTAGACAGAGAAAAAACAAGATGTCACAAATTATTAGGAATAATTGACATTTATAGTTACTTTAGTATTATAGATACCATAACAAATGTGATAGTATGTATAGACACATGCAAGTAATTTTCTCTAATCTTGAGAATTTTAGTTGTCCTATTAACCTTTACTAAATAACCTGGTGTGGTAACTATAGCACAAAACAATGACAAGTGAGGTTCCTATTAAGAGTTTCACAAGGCACATCCTATAGCCGGAATCTATTTGAAGTGTTCTTTGAGCAAAGCGATTTGGATATACTAGCAGTCATGTTAATACTAGAACGATTCCTTTTTTTCTGTAGTTTTCAGATGATCAGATCAAAAGTAAACAAACAAACAAACAAAACAAACAAACAAACAAAAAACTGCTATCTGGGACCCATACATGCTCAATATCTTTAAAACTACTTTTCTTTTCTTTTTTTCCTCAGCACCAGGAACCATTGCTCTATTTAGTCTTACTATATGTAAGTATCTCACACTTGAACACCATTGAAATCAAAATATTACATTCTTTTCTATTACATAGAGTGCATTCTTTTCTGATGATTTTTCAGTTTTTATAGGTTTTATAGCTTGAAATTAAACCAGTGTAGAGAAAACGGACCTTTCGTACGATATACACCTGTTGTTGGTGATTGTATATTCATTTATACAGTTTTCTATATGTCCACTTAGTAACAAACCCGAAATAATACTTTTTTTCCAAGATGATTAGTCATATGACTTTTCATCTCAAATATGGGTAATTTTCTAAACTAAACAGGACACTTCTCTGACTTACTGTGGACTAGTTAAGTGAAAAATCTAGATGGAATATAAATGTATATGTGCTTAAAAAATAACACTTTTGAGCACTGAAATGTAACTGACAGTAATTTCTTCTTCTAGAGCTTGAATCTTGGAAATTATTTTTCAGAGTTACATGTCATTTATTTTCTGGTTCCTTACAGTTGTTGGCATTGCAGTAATTTTCATCTCCGTGTACAAGTGTCTTCACAGAGGGAAGTAAGGGTGAATTAAACATTTATTCTCATGTATTGGTCCTTCTCACTCTTGACATACTTTTGTGTTGCTTTTGTTTGTATTGCTTACCATCTATTTTTAAAATGTGCTACATTAGTGCGCCATCTGAAGTAAAGTTCTTTCCTAAAATCAGTTTCAGCTGCCTTTCGCATCATTGCAACAGGAATAATTTGTGCATAATAATTTAGTTATTATGACTGTAAGAAAGTTTTTTTTTTGGTGAGGTTTGAGGTTTAAGTTCTGCAGCAAATCATGGACCATGATCGGGCCTTCCCAATTCTAGATATACCCTATTTCCTAAAGTGAGCTAGTGGCCAGGATTAAATTTCAAATAGTTCATTGTGGAGACTTTAAAGTATGTCCACTGGAACTTTTAGGATGAAAGCTTCCATTTGTCTGCAGAACAGGAATTCTGTAAGAAGCTATGTAGATGTCGTATTCAAATGGCCAATTTGATTTCATTTAGAATTTTTATACAATTTAAACTGGGAAATTAGAAGCAACACGATTTGATTTCCCTCTTATGTTCTCTTAATTTTTCTAGGCTGTAGTAAACTGATGAATTAAAGTTAAAGGGACAGAGAAGGGTAATATTTACAAGGTACCTCATTAACTTTATTTGCCATTTTATTTATAAAAATGGAGAAGCACCTGACCAGGTGACACTGTTGGTAGAGTGTAGTCCCATATGTAGGTTTGATTCTCAGGGCATGTGCCTGTGTTGCTGGTTCGATCCCCAGTCTGGGCACATATGGAAGGCAACCAACAGATCTCTCTCTCTCTCTCTCTCTCTCTCTCTTCCTTTCTCTCTCACCCCCTCCCTCCCTGTCTCGCTCTCCCTCTTTTTCACAATCAATAAAAACATATCCTCAGGTGATGATTAAAAAAACAAGAAAAGGCTAGGCTTACAATAGAAAAAAAAGTGTACAAATACATATCTTCTAAGGAGAATAGGGATTTTAAACTTTGATCAAACTTAAATTTTAATGAAATAATTAACAATTTAATGAAAAACTTAAAGTAAATCCTGGAGCATAAACCAAGATTATGCTTTGAAATTTCTGATTTCCAGTAATTCTTCGTAGCTTTGAAACACCTTTGAAAGCAAATATAATTTTAAACATTTTGGTATTTATGGTTTACTTAAAATTTATGGTTTACTTAAAATGGTGTTATGTTTACTTAAAATTTAAAAACCAAGATGAAAGCCAACAATTTTTATTTGGGATTAAAGAATTGCCATTCACACAGTACAAGTTCAGGCAGAAACCCATAAAGTATCCCAATTATTGGGTGAAGATGAAGATGTTTTATGAGAATATTAGAAGAAAGAATTCCTATTGGCCCTGAAAGGCAGAGGTACTCTTTACCTATGCAGGGCTGGTTACTGAGTCTATCTTCAAATAGAGAGTCCATAGTGGTCAGTCCTTGTGGTCAGGATCTGCAACCCTGCTGGCTTTACAAACATTTGTTTATAAGACACTGTTGCTTTGGCTTAGACAAAAGTTGTTTTGCCCAGTTCAAACATTCCAAAGGTTCAAGGAGCAAGACATGCAAGGACATTTCTCTAGAGCAGCTGCTCTGGCTCCACCTTATGTCAGCTTTTACAATGATTTCTTTTTATATTAATCATCTGGTTTGGGCTATGTAAAAAAGTAAGTTTTTCACTCATAAAGAGTTCAAACATTTTTTTTCTATTATTGGATATCTTTTTAAAATACCCAGAATGCTTTTATTTGCATCTTAAATCTTAAATTTATGGAAAACTTCATATGCATGTTTATATTTCAATTACTAGTATATTTTAAATATTTTGTTGATTTTTTACAGCGACGTAGGGAGAGGGATAGAGAGTTAGAAACATCGATGAGAGATAAACATTGATCAGCTGCCTCCTGCACACCCCCCACTGGGGATGTGCCCACAACCAAGGTACATGCCCTTGACCGGAATCAAACCTGGGACCTTTCAGTCCACAGGCCGACGCTCTATCCACTGAGCCAAACTGGTTAGGGCAATCACTAGTATATTTTAAATTACAGATACACAAGAGTGTGCATAGGAAATACTATCAGCTGGATATTTTTACAAGTCCAAAGATTTGTGTAGTGTAGACAAAAGTGGATTCTATGGAATGTAACCTCATAGAGTGATCTGGTCATAATTTCCTCATTGGGCAGGTCACGGTGAGTAGTCATACCCACACACACAACTATTTTTTTTTTTTTGTAAAAGTTTTATCTTTGTCTTAAGAAATCTCTGCCCATGTTTTAGGGCATCAAGATTAACACATCTTTGAATTAACCACCTTCAAGAGAGTAACTATCCTGTATTCCATCTCTACCTTGCTTTTTCTCACTTTCATGTAATCTTTCTTACATTCCCTCCTTAATTTCAAATGCATAAAAGTGACTTGCAAAATTATCATTTTCTGAAGTATGTGAGATCCTGTGTCCAGTCCATTGTCACCAGTTTGGCTGAAATCAACAGAAACATGTTCTACAGGTTTGGGCCTTCCTTGTGTCAAATTAGAAAAAAGTTCTCAAGAAAGCAAACGGAAATTACTTTCTGCTCCTTACTATCCTCCATTGTTTAAAATATCACTGTACCAAAATACTTAAAGGCTCCTTAAGAAATATAATAAAATTCTTTCTAGCTATGGGGTCTTTTTTTTTTTAATTCTCTACTTTTTTTTCCCCTATTGGGTCTTGTAAGCTGAATATCCCATTCAAGATGGTGACATAGGAGGATCCTAAACTAACCTCTTCTCCAACACATCAAATCTACAGCTACACAGAACAATTCCTTCTGAAAGCCATCCAAAAGCTAGCTGACCAACTTCTACACATTAGGTGGAGAAAAACCCACTCGAAATGGGTAGGAGAACCTGAAACACAATCTCTCCATACATCTCACCCATGGCACGGTGACCCACAATCAGGCGGGAACCCACATCTCTGAACTTCTCCCTGAGGAGTGAAGTGTTTGAACTTCATATCTGGTACCCCATCATTTAAGTCCAACACCTGAGAGATGGGTCCCCCAAACACCTGGCTTTGAAAGCATTGGGGTTTATGTCCATGAGACTCACAAGGCTATAGTGAACTGAGATATAGTACTTACAGGGTCCCCCTCGGGCACAGTGCAGAGGTAGCCTGCTGAAACACACACATCTCTCTGTGAAAGAGATCTGTTTACTTATCTTAAAAGCTAAAACCTGACTTCCAGTCAAGATTGTAGAATAGGTAAACTCTGTGCTCATCTCCTGCTATGAAAATTACAATTAAATTATAGCACAACCATTCTTGAGAACCATCTGAAAACTAGCTGAGCAGAAATCCTATAAAGGATTTCACCACCCTCAAGAGAGTACATATATATCCCTGACCACTGTGACTCGGTTGGTTGGGTGTCATCCCGTGCACCAAAAGGTTGCTGGTTCCATTCCCGGTCAGTGCATATGCCGGGTTGTGGCCTCAAACCCAGGTAAAGTGTGTGCAGGGGCATCCTATGGATGTTTCGCACTCACATTGATGTTTCTCTCTCTCCCTCTCCTTTCCTCTCTATTTAAAAAGTTTTTTTTAATCTTAAAAAAAAACAAAATAGGGTGCTCTCCCTCCAGGGAGCTTGCCCTTGCCTTGCCCCTCTCCCCCCTCCCCACATTACCATTAGTTTCCTCTCTCCCAAACTCCAAGGCCCCTTCCTTTACCTCCATAACTTGTTTGCTTCTTGGAATTACTTTTCTACCTTTAAAATTTACCAAATAAATGTTCTCTTACAAAACAAAAACAAAAAAACACCCACAAAATAGTACATAAATGATTTAAAGGAGAAGTCATGTCAAGACTAGTGGAAGGGGCAGAGACGCTGAACTGGCAGGTCCCACACCCACAGGGTGGAAACTGACAATTGAGAGGGATATTTTAGCCCCAGAGGTCTGCCCTAAGGATTGAGGAGTCTCAGCTCCACACCAGGTGCTTCTGTTTGGGGCACCAGTACCAGGAAGAGGAGTCCCCATAACAAAAAAGGGGGGGGGGGGGGGATTATAACGTCCCATTGAGACAGAGGGCTGCGGGAGACTGAGGCACTGCAGAGGGATCATAAACAGATGCGCTTGCTCAAAAACTCAGTGGCTCAGGATCTGTGGGAACATCAGGTCGAAAGTGCCAGGAACAAATGGGGAGGGACTAAATTGACGCTTCCGGAGGCGGACAGGGAGGCAGGGGTCAGGGAAACACTCTCTGGGGACAGAAGTGCTGGCAGATGCCATTGTTCTTTTGTTGAACTTGCCTCCCAAACAGCCAGCCAGTTCCGGGCAGGCACCAAATCTGAGCTCTTCAGTAACCTGGGTAACACTGTTCACCACACCCCAGTGATTCCCTAAAGCCCTGTAACCACCCAACTCACACACGAGCCCAAGCCTCTCCCAATAGCTGCTCCACACAAGTGGTCTACCTCAGCTTGTAGTGTGGACTTTCCTAAAAATCTCTCAAATTTCCACAAACTCCAAACAGGCAGCAGTAGGCCTCAGTGTGCCCACCCCTATTGCCAAGCTGCCCAAGGCCCAAGCAGAAATGGAGACTGATTTCAACTTGCACTGCAACTCCCTTGAGGCAGTCCCAAGTGTGGCATAAGGGGTGGCTAGGCATGGTTTGGGATATAGTTGCAATTAAGTAGCCACAAGTTGAGCAAAAGTGGTGGCTGGCCTCAGCGTACACAGTGGTGCCCAACAAAGAGTCACAAGCTTGGCACAAGTGGCAGCAGGGCTCAGTTCACAGCATACCCTCTTTCAAGCACCTCTAATCCCAGCACAAGTGGCAACCAACTGGTTGCAGATCATTTTGTAGCTACCAGGTGGTCCAAGCCCAGCACAAGCAATGGTGGTCTTGGCCTGCACTAGAACACCTCCCAAGAGGCTACAGAGCCCACACTTTTGGTGGACAGCTCTAAGCCACACCAGAGCACCGTCCAATGACATATCCAAATAGCATACTTAGTTTGCACTAAAGTAATTTCTGCTCTGTGAGGTCAGCCTCCACAGATCAGCTTGTCCACTACAGTCATGGCCAGCCTTCACAGCCAGTCAGCCTGGGGATTAACCCCACCCACAAATATGCCAAGAAGATTCAAAGTTCAACTACAGCAAATAAGCATACACAACCTACACAAGGGACACTCCTGGAGCACCTGGCTTAGGTTATAAAGGAGACTATGCCATTCGTGACCACAGGACACCTATTACATAAGGCCATTTTGCCAAGATCAGAAGATGTAGTAGATACATAGAAACAAACACAGGGAATCAGCCAAAATGAGACGACAAAGAAACATGCCCCAAATGAAAGAACAAGACAAAGCTTCAGACAAATACCTAAAGGACATGGAGACAAGCAATCTAGGAGGTACAGAGCTTAAAACACTGGTTTTAATGATGCTCAGTGAATTTAGGAGAATAATAAACTCAGTGAGAACATCAACAAAGAGAAAACATTAAAAATAACATTAATAACTCACTTAAAATGAAAATACAATAACTGAAATAAAGAATACATCACAGGGAATAAACAGCAGATAAGATGAAGCAGAGAACTGAATCAGCAATCTGGAATCTGGAGGACAATATAACAGAAAGCATCCAATTGGAACTGCCAAAAAAAATTTTTTTTTTAAGAGGAGAAGAGTTTGAGAGACCTCTAGGACATCATCAAACTTACTAACATTCACATCATAGGATGACCAGAAGAAGAAAACAAATAATTGAAAACCTACTTGAGGAAATAATGACTGAGTTCTCTCTGGGTTGCTCAGTTGGTGGGAGCCTCATCCCATACCCCAAAAGTTGTGGGTTTGATTCCCAATCAGTGCACATACCTAGGTTGTGGGTTAGATCCCCAGTTGGGGCATGTACAGGAGGCAACCAATTGATGTTTCTCTCTCACATTGATGTTTCTCTCTCCCTTCCTCTCTCTCTAAAAATCAGTAATCATATCTTTGAGTGAAGATTAAAAACGAATAAATTAATAAAATATAAAGTAAGAAATAATGACTAAAAACTTTCCTATCCTGTCCATTGAAATAGACATACAAATCCAAGAAGTGCAGAGAGTTCTCAATAAGATGAATCCAAAGAAACCCACACCAAGACACATCATAATTAAAATTACAAAGGTTAAAGACAAGTAATGTTAAAAGCAGCAAGAGAAAAAATGTTATGTAAAAGGGATCTGTCATAGGACCATCAGCTGATTCTTCAACAGAAATTTTGTAAGCCAGAAGAGATTGGCATGAAATATTCAAAGTGTTAAAAGGCAAGGGACTTCAACCAAGATTATTCTACCCAGCAATGCTATCATTTAGAATCAAAGGAGAGATAATTTCTCAGAGATTTAAAAAAGCTAAAGGACTTCATTACCATTAAACCAGCAACACAAGAAATGTTCAAAGGCAAAAAGGGGCATGTTTCAATAATTCCTTTTACAAGTGAGGAAATATCCCCAGAAGTCCCAGCAGACTTCCCTTGATTCAGGCACCTTGTCAGTACCCTTCTCCTCCCTCTCAGTGTCTCCCTGGCAGTGGATCTGCTTTGTTTACTGGTAACAAAAAGATAAAAGAAAAGAAAATTTTTATTACCTCCAAGCTGAGTGCTCGCAGGGCCAACACAGCCATCCCTGGAAGATGGGCCAGCACCCTGTCCCCAGCCTCATGCATCCTCAGCGGAACCCAGGACTGCATGCCAACGGCATTATTCCTCCCAGACCCTGGAAAGAGGAGCAGAGGGAGGGAGGAAGACTGTCCCAGCTCAGAGGGAGGGCTGGCGGGTCTCCCCAAAGCTTCCTTCTCCCCTGGAATCACAGGGGCCCCTGAGTCTGGCCACAGGAGATCTGGCAGCCCAGGCACAAGGGCAGGGTGGCCTCCCAGCTCCACAGAAGGAAGCCCACCCAGGTGACTGTGGGGTTACTAGGTTTGCACGTGTCCTCTTCCATGAGGCACACCAGCACCCGAAACAGCCCTGATCCCAGGCACCACTGTGCTGGCAGCGTGACCCAGGAGAACACGCACAGGCCATGGGCTCCTTGGGAGGCGGGAGCGGGGTCCTATCTGGTTTGGAACCCACGTGACCTGGCGCGATGCCCGGCTCATAGGAAGTTCTCAGTACACAGGTAGAGAGCTAATGGACTTTTTTCTACGGGGATGGGGGTTGGGGTGGGGGCAGGTGGGCGCGTGGCTGGTCGCGTGGCGAATGTCCGGGGTCT